CCTCATTTCACCCACCTTGGAAGGATGGAAGGCTGAGTCAACCTTGAGCCGGTGAGATTTGAACCGCCAAACTGCAGCTAACAGTCAGCTGAAGTAGCCTGCAGTGCTGCACCCTAACCACTGCGCCACCTCGGCTCTCTAGAACTATAGAAGTATAGAACTATTCTTCCATCTGTTTTCAATGAGTAACATCACAATGAATTGCCCCAAGTTGACGTTGAGTCTTGCTTAACACAGGTTACCAAAACTAACCTCTTCCATTAATCTCTGAGGTTTTCTCTATCCCTAACTGTAGTTTATTAAGTCTGGTTCTTATTTATTCAATTGGACAAATATTCATTTCGCAGTCCCAATAAAAATAAAATGAGCATCCATCCAATATAGAACCGACCCAAAGCAATGTTACTGTTGGATATTCCAAGGCTCATATATTTTCTTCAACCTAAACTCCAGACACCTTTTAGTAGGTGAAAAGCAAAAATTACCTTGGTGTAATTTATAGGTGATATTAGGCTGATAGAACATTCCTTCTATTATATATTTCTAATATATTTTTAACAATACTGGGAATTATCCAAGGATTAGTCCATACTTGTAGAAGTGACTATTAGAATGGGCCCTTTTTTATAGTTGTTAATCTGCATCAATAGAAATATCTAGAATATTAAAAAAGTATTATTATTTTAGTGTGGTAATGCCAAACCAAGCATACCTTATAAAAACCAGTGTGAGGCAGCATATATTGGAGTTAAAGGCACCAGAATAATATTCAGTAAAACACTTTAACTATCATCAAATATACTGAGGCAGTTGGAAAAAGAAACCCATTAAGATTTTTTTTTTTAGCAGTTCCCAATAGACTGTCTTGGAAAAGTATTATTGAAAACCTCTCCTAAATCAGATTCAAGATATTATAGCAGCTTCTATGAAGGCCTGTCAGGAATTCCATTATAAACCCATATTTTTCATGTTTATAAGGTAACCACTCTTTTTTTTCCCAGATAGTGACTTGGTATAAGAAGTCTTGGTTTGAGGCAATTTTGTTTTTTATTATTTTAGGAATTTATATGTAAGAGCATTTTGGATTACTTAAAAATTAAACTTGAACGTCGTTGTTTATTGCAGTAAACTTTTTCTAAAAAACTTATTTTCTTGTATTTTAACATGTTCAAAGCTGCATATTTATTATACAACTAATTCCTTACCGATAAGTATTAGAGCAGAAATACTTTATATAGAAAACACATATATACTCTACCCTGCATCTTAAATGTCTGACAATAATAAGATATTAACTTTTGATTAATAAGTGTATGTTATTACTTAGACTAATAATAATATTATGTTTGGATACAGAGTGCGTCATTTCTTCTTCTGCAGAATTAAAGTTTCTCATATAACCAATTTCGTTGTATTTAAATACAATGACAATAAAGATTATACTTCTATGTGCAGAACATCAACAAAGTTCATTTCAAATGTATACAATTATTATTTCTAAGTTTATTTGTTTTTACTGTAAGTGAAAAATTTAAATAGATTTTGAAAATGGAGAAAAATGTGTTTCATTATGCAATTGATATGACTGATCCCTCGCACAAGGATGAATATTTACTTATTAACCATTATAAATATTTATGGAAAGGGAAGGAATTTTATTCTAGCAACTATAAAGCATGAAAGAGACTAGCCTAATTTGTTATTTTTCCTACCCAACATAGTTTCAGTTTTTTGCTTGTAGCTAAGACAGGTTGATTTATTGCTTTGAGAACTCAGAAATGCTCTCCTTCCACAACGTCTACTGGATTCTGTGCTAGTTTCCCCAACAGCAAAATCACAGCCCTGTGGATGCTGAATTGCCTTGAATACTCTTAAGCTTCTAATATCTATAAAGCTTGGGGAAAGTCAATTAAAAGTCAGGGTTTCAAATAATGGCCTTTTTGGTTGTGTTGTTACTTCAACTAATTTTCCCATTCACATGGCCTCCTATATTAACAGGAATCTATCTCCAAGTGTTGCTTGCTTCTAGATCCCATAACATTTATACATTCCTAAGATTCATGAATTCAATACTAGTCTAAGGATAATATCTACTGAAATCTAAAAGAATAATTGAAAATGAAGTTTTTCCCATAATAACATTTCTTTCAAAGTTCATACTAATTCACTGTTGCTTCCACAGTGAATTAGTATAAACTAGTCAGTACATATCAATGCAACTCATACTTGAGCCCCAGGTCAAGGTCACTGTTTAATAATAACAATCTAAGAGGAGATGGAAGGAGAACCACATGGATCTTGGCACACTTTTGATGTCAAGCCAGCATTTAAGCCCATGGGATCATCTGGCAGGTATCATTAGTCGACACTATCTCCCTCTTTCCCTCTCCGCCATCTGTTTCCATCAATTCCATTTGTGTAAATTAACTCTCAGCATGCCACCATTCTCCCTCTTGTCTTGATTCTTCTTCTTGTGTCCTACAGTTTTTCTCCTAGGCCAGATGCAGTGACCTATATTTAAGACTCTTCCTGAAATCTTTAATGAATTTCTTTTGCCCCTTAGGGATCCTATGGCATCAGTCTCATTGCACAAGCAGGCTGGTACTATAAGATAGCAGCAAATACTTCATTGCTTCTTTATTTTGTGAGTCCACATCAGTCTTTTTCCAGCCTGTGGCTGTGTGGTGCCTCTTATATTTCCTTCCTTTTATTCTTTATGGTTCATCCTTAAAATGTATGTAATGTCTTCTTCTTCCACTCCAGGCTAATCATTTTCAAAAGTAGAGTTAGGAGTGGAGATACAGCGAGGCACAGGAAAGACTAGGCTGAAGGGCTTTCCAAGCACCCAGACATTTGGTATTTGGTATTTTATTATTTGTATGCCGCCCTTCTCCGAGAGGACTCAGGGCGGCGAACAATTCAAAGGGG